CGTTGGCAACACAATTCATGCCGTTGGGAGCCGCAATTTTGGACCAATTCTCTCACTGTAGGGCTGTAGGTTTGAAAAAAAAAAGGTAACATAATCAATTTTCCTTCCTCCTTGCAGCGCGCCCAGATACGCCCTTAATTAACCAAAAAAAATTACATCTTTATTAATAACAAATTAATTATTAAACAAAAATATTAAATAAAAACTAAGCAAACGTGTATTGCACGTTGCTTGCACGTAGTATTCTTTATAACTATGTAAAATGATGAATTTGTCATTCTCTTTAAATAAAGAGAAAGAAAAAATAGAAACAATTACATTCGAATTTCAAATCTTTTCAAAAAAATGTTTCAATTATAAAATGAACCCCATGAACCCAGAACCCCACTTAACCCTGTCCTCTACCCCATCCCACTCCCACTCCCTCCTCGACCAAGCACCATCACCACCTTAACCTCCTTCATGTTCATGTCTCTTCGTCCATATGAAACTTTTTTTATTAATATTTTTTTACTTGTTTAGTGAGACTCATTTGCACTTTAAAAAATAAAAAATTGAACTAATGATTGCAATTATTTATTTATTTTTCTTTATTTTTCGTTTATATATTTAAATAGAAGGATAAATTCATCATTTTACATTACTCAAATGAGAGGAAATGAACGAAATGGGACCACAAGGATGCTTCGCGCAAAGAGGTTTGCTTTTAAGGTCCAAATGTCAAGTGAAATAATAGGGACGATCTACACTATAGGAACCCTCCGTACAAATTACCCTAAATTAGCTAAGAATGAGGTAAGAAAATAAAATTGTTTATTAATTCTTATTATTTGTAGGCCCATTAAGCCCTGTCCAAACCATAAGCCCGTTTTCGCAATGCCTAATACACCTTAATAGTCATTTCACACGAACTATATATTGCCCGACTCTCAACCCTCATTGTCACACTGCACACAGAAAACCCTAGCCCCACCCCTGCTCTGCAATGGCCTCCGCCGCTGCCCGTCCTCTTGTAACCGTCCAATCCCTAGTAAATGACCTGGAAACCGACGGAGGCTCCGTCGCCAACTCCATACCACTTCCCGATGTGATGAAGGCGTCGATCCGCCCTGACCAAGTGACATTCGTCCACGGCCAAATTTCCAAGAACGCTCGGCAGCCTTACGCCGTGTCAAAGAAGGCCGAACCCCAGACATCTGCCGAGTCATGGGGAACTGGGCGCGCTGTATCCCGTATCCCTAGGGTACCTGGTGGCGGAACCCACCGCGCTGGACAAGGTGCCTTTGGCAACATGTGCCGTGGTGGTCGTATGTTCGCCCCCACCAAGATCTGGCGCCGCTGGCACAGGTCCGTGAACGTCACTCAAAAACGCCATGCCGTGGTTTCAGCTATTGCGGCTTCTGCTGTTCCCTCTCTTGTTCTGGCGCGTGGACACCGCATTGAAGGAGTTCCGGAGCTGCCTCTTGTTGTATCGGATTCTGCGGAGGCTATTGAGAAAACAAACGCAGCTATTAATAACCTCAAATAAATTGGAGCTTATCCTGATGCTGAAAAGGCCAAGGATAGTAACGCTATCCGCCCTAGGAAAGGTAAAATGCGCAACCGCAGATACATTTCCAGGAAAGGCCCTCTTATTGTGTATGGTACGGAAGGAGCAAAGCTAGTGAAGGCCTTCCGCAATATACCTGGCGTTGAGGTTGCTCATGTTTCGCGGCTTAACCTGCTGAAGCTCGCACCTGGTGGACATCTGGGGAGATTTATTGTCTGGACTAAATCTGCATTCGAGAAATTGGATGAGACTTATGGGACATTTGACAAGCCATCTGAGGAGAAGAACGGATATGTGCTGCCTAGGGCTAAGATGGTGAATGCTGACCTGGCTAGGATCATCAACTCTGATGAGGTGCAATCCGTGGTGAATCCAATCAAGGAGGAGGTTAAGAGAGCACAATTGAAGAAGAACCCATTGAAGAATCTGAACGTGATGCTGAAGCTGAACCCATACGCCAAGGCTGCAAGGAGGATGTCACTCTTGGCTGAGGCTCAGCGAGTTAAGGCTAAACAGGAAAAGCTCGATAAGAAGAGGAAGCAGATCACCAAGGTATTGTTGATTTTTTATAAGGTTATTTATGTAGTTGATTGGTCGATCAATTGTCTTGTCATACCAGAATAGGTAGTTTTTATGTTTGTATATATTTCTGTGATTTGGTCATCGATTAACATCCAACAATAGTCATTGGTGATTCTATTGTTTCTTTCTCATAGTCATATTTTTTTAACTATGCCATTAATACCAGTACAATAGGTCCATCAGATGTGTGTCAAAACTGTGCCCTTATTGGAATTTGGTTTTTATTTAGATTGTCAAACCTGTAGCTTGTGTATGAAACTGAGGTACATTTTCGTCTTTCATCCTGACAATCCTGTAGCTCTGTCATAAACTTTATGAGAGAAGCAACTGCAATTGGGCTCAAGATTAGTTGGATTGCTTGAAACAACTGATGTTTGCTGCAATCTGAACCTTTACTTGGTTACACTCAGTTTTAAAAATTCAGATTCAGAATTTATGTAGGTCGGACATGTCTAGTTTGTTAGTGCTTGCTCAGTTGCAATCTCTATTGATTGTTTATGTGGATGCATTCAAGATATATATATATATTTTTTTGTCTTGGCTGCACGAGGTATTTTTGCTCGAATTAGTCTTGCAACATTCTGAGAGACTCGTATATCTTGTGCATGTGTATTTTATGCAAGCTTTCAAATGAATTGTGGCTTGAAGGTATTATGGGAAAAGGCTATTTACCTTTTTGTTGTTTTCACAGTGTATTTATTCTTGCCTTGGTGTAGCTGTGAATTGTCTAAAGTTGCTGTGGAATTTAAATGACTGAGCTATGTGGAAATTTTTGCAGCATATGATTATTATATAACATCGAATATTTAGTCGAATTTGTTTGTCCTGTTGTCATTCTCTGTATCTTTTGTATGAACTTGTCTTTTTTTTTTCCTAATATTTCTGATATATGTTGTTTCCTTTATCTTAAATGAATTTAAAAGGAATTATTGCCTTTAAATTGTTTCCCAGTGGTTGGTCAGTTTAATTAATTTTCATATCTAGAAGGACTGACTTATTGCCTTGAAATTTTGCTATCACACTCTTTTCAGGAGGAGGCTTCAGCGATCAAGTCTGCCAGCAAGACATGGTACAAGACAATGATCTCAGATAGCGATTACACTGAATTTGAGAACTTCTCAAAGTGGTTGGGTGTTTCTCAGTGATTCTGTTTTTGAAATCTCTTAGAATCAATTTTGTTAATTAGTCCGATTCACAGTCTTCTTCACTTTGCCCTTCGGGATTGTCAAGTCATGAATCATATCGGAGTGAAACACACCGATGACTTCCTTAGTCTAATTCCCCAGTTTTTGACGAGAGCTCATATTTTGGTGTCTAAGTTTCTGGCTAAGTTGAGAAATTATGGTTTAATCATTTGCGTTGAGGATTTTCCGGTAAACATATTGTTTTCAATGAATCAATATTTATTAGTATTCCAATTATTTACGCTCTCATGTATTGTAAATTAATTTCATTTAATTTGATGTGGAATTTAACTGTTAATATACTTCTCCGAAGATGGTAGTTTATTTTAGTACACCAACATTAGAATCGAATGCTTGTCAGGGCATTAAATATACTGAATTGCTCATTTGAACTTAACAATCCCTGATATTGACATTGTTAGAAATATCACACAAATCACAACAGAAATGATGAGGATGAGATTAGAAAATCTTGGAGTGATAAGATTGTCAAATTCAAATCAAATGATAGAAGTTGTTAAATTATTATTTGATATTTTGTTATCTATTCTTTGGATTGACATTACTCACAAAATAGTGGAGAGTTGGTATTCTTATTTTATTTTTGTTAAATTATTATTTGATATTTGTTATCTATAATTTGGATAGACATTAGTCACAAAATAGTGGAAAGTTGTTATTCTTAGTTTATTATAAATAGGAACAAATGTGTACTAGGTGCTTATGACCTATGGTCATCATTCAATAATGTAATAATCTGCCTTTGATTTATTTTTCCGCTTCGTTTCCGTATTTTCTTCTGACATCACAATAAAATAGATCTCAGTTTAGAGATACGATGAATTGTGACATCTTATCGAACAATTTTGCAAGATACAAGCCATTTATATGCATGTTAAAGAAGATAAAAGGTTATATCTTATGCGAATAATGATGAAGTTAATGGACATAAATGACGGCAGGCTTTTGCCCCAAAAAATTGGAATTGAGAAGAATGTGTGGAAGGTTTTAGTCGAGTGGCATTCGCATTCAGAAGAGGCATATGATTCTTGAACATTATGTGGACAAGTGCTCTAGCAAGGTAATGTTCCTTCCATTCAATGCAGGGGCCAGAATTTAGGCCAAGGGTAAAACTCCCATTGCTCTACCTCCTCATCGAAAATAATCTAGCTGGCTAAAGAAACTTAGGAGGGAAACACGCAAAGCAACTACGTCGATTTTTTGGAAGAAGAATTAGGATTTCGAGTAATAAAATCCTATCATTAAAATAAATATACGAAGCACTAAAATCAACTCATAAACAAAGAATCTTCTTGTTGGGTTTGAATCGGCCTAGGAAGTCTTCACTTCCGTGCATTTTCAATTGGCATACCATCCAATCCATTTTTTGCTATCAAAAACGAGGTGTGGAGAAGGAAGACAATGCCTAGGAAATAAATAAACAAGACAATTAATATCGAGGTGATTTACTTCAATAACAAATACACAGAAGGTGATTGGCATCAACGATCTCATTGTTGGTAGGAAATTGAGTATCACAACTATAATCATGAAGAAAGGAGGAGGGAAGATTCAAGTGGACTAACTCTTTTACCATTTCTCAATACCGTTGAGCAAATTAAAAAAATTACATGGACTGTACATGGAAGAGAGAATAAAAATCTAACATAATCTGCCAACATGAACGAATTTTGCCAGTTTTTGAAAGAAATTGTGCCAATAAAATGGTTAGGGGAATATTTATTAATCCCCTGAAAAGTTGGGGACTAAATGTGCAAAACGCCTTTTTTTTTTTATTTCACTCGCACTTGTTGTACTGAATGCACATGGTGTAACGGGATTTATCCAGAACAGCAGAAGAAACGGAGAAATAATATATAAAGCAAAAAACCAACGGTGTTGATAAATCAAACCCTATTCCCAATCTCTCATCTCAGTCGTCTCCTTTCGCCCCCATTTCTCCACCCTCCGATCTCCCAAATTTCCTCTGCTCTCGCGCCCAAATACAAATTCGGTAATCTCCCTCCCTTTCTTTCTCCACTTTTTCTTTCTATATCTATAATTTTATACAAAACCCTTTTGTATCTATAGTTTTGAATATATATATGGTTACTCACTCTCTGACGGGTTTTTTGATTTTGGTAGAATGGCTGATGGACGGGCAGGTGGCTCGTTTGGAGTTCCGGGAAGCCCTGGCGGCGGTGGCGGCAGCCACGACAGCGGGGGCGATCAGAGCCCTCGATCGGGTGTCAGGGAGCAGGACAGATTTCTTCCGATTGCGAACATCAGTAGGATCATGAAGAAGGCGCTCCCGGCCAACGGAAAGATTGCTAAGGACGCTAAAGAAACCGTCCAAGAATGCGTCTCTGAGTTCATCAGTTTCATCACCAGCGAGTATGGCGTTATTTCAATAATATAGATTGTGTGTACGAAGATGTCAAATTGATTGAATTTGCTTGTGGATTGAAAAAGGTCGTTTTTATGTTCTTTTTAATTCTATACAAAGACTGTATTTTTAAAAAAAATTCCGGAACCTCAAACTTATATATTTCTTAATGTGATTGATGTGAAGGTGCTAAGATCAGTTATACAGATAAATAAACACGTTCACATTCACATTCACAATTACCTGTTTATACTCCTCTTGTCTTACCCGCAAACATGTTATCTCTTGTATCTAATGTATATGTTCCTTTTATGGATTTGGTTGCTTTAATCTGTTTGCATTAGGAACATAATTAAGTTTCTTTTTTTGAATGTTTGGACATATCACATGTATTTGGATGCAAATATATTAAGGCAAGTTGTGCACTTGATGTTGTTGAGATCTGTCACTGAAAATGTTATGGTGGTTGAAATGTCAAGGGCGAGTGACAAGTGTCAGAAAGAGAAAAGAAAGACTATTAATGGGGATGATTTGCTGTGGGCTATGGCAACTCTGGGATTTGAAGATTACATTGACCCATTAAAGGTGTATCTGGCTAGGTACAGAGAGGTATTCTTTTCCCCACATCGAATTTTTTGAACTTCTTTAGGCTTTGGATTTTTTCTGGTGGCCAAAATGAAATATTGTGCTGTCATGAATTGTTTGTATACTGAAACTGATGGATACGTATTTTTTGTTCTATGGTTTTATGGTTCTTTCCCCTGGATTGCTCTTGGCCACAGTTGGAGGTGAGTGTATGCATACTAAATTCAGTTCATGCGATTTTTTTGTTGTTTTGTTTAATTTGACAACATACTGTACCTCATTTTTTTGACAGGGTGATACCAAAGGATCAGGGAAGGGTGCAGATGGATCTGCTAGAAAGGATGCACTAGTACCTAATCCTGGTTCTCAGGTATTTTGTCAGATCTTTGTCATTTGAATTTTTTTTATTAACTTAATGTTTGAAACGTTTAGGTACGTTAATTTGTGGACATTCTGAACAGGTGCAGCTTGCTCACCAGGTTTCATTCACACAAGGCATGAATTATTGAAGCTCTCAGGTTCATGCCCTTGTCCTTTTGTGCAGCACTCTAGTATGCTGCACATCTCTCTCTCTCTCTCTCTCTCTCTCTCTACAGTGTCGTACACTCGTATGTTTATTAATGTCTCCTTACACGTACCCCTTCCATAACTCTGTTGAAACATCCATTTCTATACGACTTAGTTGCATGTGTTTTGATATCAAGTAGCAAGAAAAATCAATGGGGCAAAACCATGATATGGATGAGGAGGGCAGCAGATGAACCATATCTATGAGGAAAATAAGTTTTAACATTTTTAAATGTCCATTTAATCTGTCTGTAATGGGGGAGTGAAATGTCATTTCAGATTTACACAGGAATTTCTTGCATTTATGGGCACAGTCTTTTCTCGTTGTACCTCCTTGGTCTCCTGCTGGTGGTGGTCTTCCAAAAAAAATTTAACTGCAAGATTTTTGTCACTGTAAGTTGGCCTCTAGTTTACCTATTTTTTAAAGAGATATACGCGATTAAAAGTCCTGATTGAGGCCCAACTTAGAGCGCAAGGCGAACCAAAAATGCCTCAAGGGTGCTGATTGTGAAGCATGTTTTGGAGGTGCACGCCTCAGTTGAGTGATACATATTGCTTGTAAGGCGCAGTCCTTAATTCCCCAAACATATTTATTTTGCTCTAGTTGTAGGCCACATAATATTAAAAGTTCTGATTCACCACTCACATACATGTAGTTCTGAGTGTTGGAGGTTTTAATGTTACATCCTGCTTGTTGGAAGAAACTGAAGTGCTGACATTTCAATTCTCTTCATTTGTTAAGTCCTCTAGTTTGATGGTTGTTGAAAATGATTTTTAATTCCATTCACTAAATTTTCTTATCATTCAAAAATCAAACTTAAAAATGAAGAAAACCTGTCAGGAAACTGCCGGCACTTCAATTTTGAATTTCACTATTTGTCGTGATTGACTAATTACAGTATAAGCCCCTGTTTGTTTAGCATTAATTCTTCAGATTTAGAAAAACTCCAACCATTGCAATTCAAATTCAGCCACCATTTTTGACCATTTATCTCACAGCTGGGACCCACATTTGAAACTAACGGTGCTTTTTTTTCTACTTTCCAGCTGTTTAATGCTAAACAAACAAGGTGTAAAACTAAGTTAATTTGTTTGGTCAGATCCTAAGAATTTCTAACCTTGTAAGAGAGGTGCGAGCCTATAGCTTGCATTTGGAGAGTATGCACTTCAATAGAATTTCGGTACTCATTGCTGGGTGAACTGCGAGGATGTTGTGGGGACAAGGATTTGTAAATGGGTGGTTACAAAAATTTTTATTTAGTACACCACATTTTAATTGTAGAGTTCTTTAATCTTTGCTCATTGTAGTAATTATTTCCTAAACTTTTTTTTTTTTGTCTAATTCTTATCTACCTTCTATTAATTAATACATCTCGTCCTTGACGATGATTTACATCAAAATATTTTGTTTTCATGCTTTGAAATGAGGGAAAAATATTTTTTCGCACTTTTCATTTATTTATATTTTTAAAAATATGATGAGCAAATAAGTTGTTTAACCAATTTCAACAGATTTTTGGACATAAAAATTATTATGAAATACGAAATGTGTTAACTAATGGAAAGTTTGAGGATAAGAATAATATGAAAAATCGTTATGGAGATAAGTGCTATAATGAACAAAGATTAATAACCTTAAATGCCATTAAATATGGTGCAAGAAATAAAAATTGTTGTGTGAATATAACTATCCTTTGTAAATATAATATCACATTGTAGGATTTAATTGATTTTATAATTTCTAGGTGTTTGGGCTCCTTTCAGTGAATATGAGGTCGTGTCTTAGAATTTTTGTATTTAGGGCTTGTTTGGTAACACTAAAAATTCAATTAAAATTGAAAATATAGTCGTTATTAGGTCCCACTCGTCTAATAAAAGTCAAAAATAACGGCTAGTTTTTCAATTTTAGGCTATGTTTGGTAAAAATTCTCATTTTCAACAGTAAATCAATTCTCATTTTCAACCACACATTCTCCAATAAAATAATATTTTTTATCACATCAATAATTTTGTCTTCTTTTTCAACCACACATTTCCCATCATATCACTATTCAAAATCAATTTTTCCCCCAAAAAATCTCTGCCAAACACACACTTAATCCGATTTTAATCTCTATCAAACACACTCTTAGGACCTTGCCTTATAATTTGCTGTTTATGACCTTACTTCTGCTAGCTGAACGAAAAGTAATGGTGTTTTGCAACTTCTAAAATGTATGGGGTGGTTGTATTAGCAGGGCACCACTATAACCTATATTGTGAACTTCTATGATTGGTTCAACACTTTTGAAAGTGAAAAGAGGTTTATTGTATAACTCTACCCCTTCTACCCTTTGAAATTTGATAATCACACTGTACTTAGAGGGAATGCCAATATGACTGCTCCATTTGTGACCTGCAAATGTGAAGGTATTATTGACTAGTGGAGACTGGAGCTTTTGAAGTGGATTGATAAGTATAAAGGCGTGGGAATTTAAGT